ATCCATTCTATCCTTTTTCAACTCTTAAAGACGTTAATTTAAAGATATTTATTTAACTAAATTATATTTTAAAATAATTGTATTTTTTAATGATAGACTATAAATTTCACATTAACTAATTAGTTAAAATTCTTTATGCAGACACAAACTACAAATGTTACATCAGCAACAAATTCAGTATCGCCGATGCTAAGTTTGGAAATTGGAGGACTTGTGACGAATTTGCACAAATCTTTACTGCAGGACACGTCGCCACCATCGTCGATATGTACATCAATAAACAACGGCTGTATGAATAGTTCGCTTATCAGCTCAGCTGACTTTACGAATCTCAACTTTTTACAATCGATCCATAGTTTGGAAACAAATAATACGACTTCAACAAGAGATCACATGTCGACAATGACAACGCTAATGAATCACGTAGGCTACAATCTGAGCGACATGGTTAGGGACCGCAAAGTTCTCGACTCACTTAGCATGTCCGGTGATGGCACACTAATTAAGGATTCACATATTGGCCAAATTGATGATATTTCATTAATGCCACTAAGCAAAACAGCATCCGGTTGCAGCACCATGGATAATAGCACTGACAGTGTCTCCACCCCCAATGAAATGCAGGGGCACGCTCAAGCTCAGTTGTGTGCAACGATGGTGTTGAGTGAGGAGTTGATTGGTGATACTACATTTAATCTGGTGGATAGTTTGACTTCACGTACTACAACAGAATCTCAAAGTGAAGGGGATGCAAACGTCTTGTTTAAACGGCCAATCGCGGTGCTAAACGAAACACAGCTGCTTGCGGGGCGACAGGTCAACAGTACTTTTACCGAAGGGTGCCATACTCCCGAAGCAGCTCGTTGCGATACACCTGAAAATATTGAGACGAAATTGTCCTTAATTCAGATGCAATCTACGCCACTAACGACTTTAAACAGCCGTTGTCCATACAACTATAACAACAACAATAAAAATAATTATAATAATAACAACAATAAGGTGCCTATCTACACGCCGACAGAGACAAGTCACGAAGAAATAGTAAACATATCTCCGATTGTGAGTAGTATAACGCCCCACAAAAGCTACAGCTGCCGACAAGAGTTAAATCATACCTATGAACCACCAACGGAATCATTAAAGAATCTTCAAATTAGAGGGGCGCCTGAGTGGTTTGATGGCCAAAAGGTTGTGCATGATACAATGCACTTGCTTGAACAAATTGAACAACCAGCCACAGATGCAACATACGACAAGTCTGATGAAAATTTACAGATGCAGTGCGTCTTAGGTTTAGCCGAGGCAGAAGTAGAGCTGCTTGCTCATCAGGGTGATGAAGAGCAGTTTGAGCATATGCTCGCTGAGCTTGGCAGAGTAAACACACTCAATGCGGAGCAGATAAAAATGCAAAAGTCATTGGAAAGTATTAAGCGTCGCTTTCAGAAAGATGAGCATCCTTCTCGAGCTGAGCAGCAGCCACAGGTGGATTTGGCGCATGACACGCCGCCTTCGTCGAAGTCGCATTTAATAAATAGTCTAAATCAAAGTAACAGCCAATCATCTAATAGTAGTGAACGTTTACTTAACCGACGTAGTCGACTCTATGACGATTTTAAGTTGGTTGCAATGCACGACAGTGTAGCCAGTACCGCCAGTTGCAATTCAACATCTTTTGTAGTTCATCGAAGGGAAGATGAGCCATCAAATACATCGGGGACATGCATACCACTATTTGAGACTGAAAAGCACGGGGTGGACATAGAAACTGAACAAAACCAGACGACCATAGACTCTGAATCACTGAACTATAAGATGGCTGAGCGCCGCACTAGAGATCGAGAACGTTTTAAAACTATTAAAATAACTAGCGAAATGCGCGCTACTGACGAGAAGCTGGGATACATTGTTGTACCCTGTATTGACGATGAAGATCCCCAGTATCAGCCATTAAATTCAGCTAAAATAGAAGATCGTCCACAATCGCCAAAAAGTCGACTTTCGCGGCTTGATAAAAAATGTCTTGGAAACATTAATGGATCAGAAAACAATGCCGTTGTCGGCAAAAATTACTTGACCTACAAGAAGCCAAGAGACAAAAGTTTGTTGATGCAAAAACAGCCTCAAGCGCAACCCCCGACGCTCGCATGTGGACAAAATGCGCGATCTCAACCACGTTCGCTATCTCGACCACGTTACATTAGTAGCTTACAAAAGCTAGGTACTGTGAGCAAAGCAACATCTGCTGGCGGTGGTCTGAATGCTGTATCATCTGCAATTTCTAGGGCAACATCGAGAGAAATAGCTCCAAAACCTGGGGATGGAGTAAAAAGTCCGATGGGCATTAAGTCAAAGTCATTTCATAACTTGTCCTCGAACATTTGCAGCTCTATGGGTGCTGGTGGTGAGGTAATGCCACCTCGACAGAGCTTAGGTGACGCGCTGAAAATACCTAGCAACCAAATTAGCAAGTTGTCAAGTGTCTTTCGAGCAGAACAACAGAATGAGGTATGTAGTGCAAAAAATTAAATACAAAAATTATTTATTATGAGATGAGAAGTAACAATAAAATGTATTCATTAGGACGAAACTTCCGTATTTAAAGTGCCCAAGTTTGTTGGCACCTTGCGTGCGCCGAATAATTCCGGAGGCCCAAGCAAGCGAGTTGTGGGAAATGGACTGGCTCGACCCTCTTCCGGCTATTATAGTTTGACTATGAGAGGAGTTGGTGATTCTGAAACACCTGAGGTGAATCCAATCTTGAAACTTCAATTTAATGTAACTTATATTATATATTACTTATATTACGTCGCAGAGTCTCTCTTCTGCATCTTCGCGCGGTAGTCTGTATGATAAGGATGTAAAACAAACTGATGCGTTTGAAGCAGTGGCACTAAGCGCAAGGCTGGGGCAAGTGACATCTGGTACAAGAGGCATTCCGAAGCCATCAGCTCTTCGGCAACCTACACAAATAAAACGCAGTGGATTACCCCGGCCTTCTAATATTTTAAGGCGTTGACCCAAACGGAATCCTAGATTCCAAGAAACCTCGAACAAAAAGAAATATAGTATAGAACTTTGTTTATATGAAGAAATTCTTATTATTCACCAGCTTGGTTTCTCCTGTCGTACTGATAATTGCTTTCTAAATTTTGCATTCATTAATTAGATTTCCATTTAGTTTAAATTATAAAATTAATTAATTATATTTTCCATTTAGTTTAAATTATAAAAAAAAAACGAGCACCGAAATTGTAAACACACTATGCCTTAAACTAGAAACGGAGTAAGCTCCATATGAATTATAGTACTGAAACGAAAAAAAATTTATATTTTTGTAAAAGATTCAAACAGTTTAGATATACATATATATTATTTGTTGTCATTTAAAGCTGAAAATAATGAAATCGAATATATATCTTATATATAAAATTCTCGTGTCAATTCTCGCTTCGACCGATACTCACGAAATTTTGTGTGCAGGTCGGGTATGTCTGAGAATCGGCCAACATCTATTTTTCATGGCCTTAAGTTTATAGGCC